CAAACGGCGACTTGGGTTTAATTTCTGTGTATATTGGCTTGCCATGTCTTTCTATTACAGACGTTTTTATAATTTTAACGGTTTATTTTAAAATTCCAAATATGAACGATAAAGCAATCGACACACAGGGTGCAAAACAACATGTCTTCGTATTTAGTCATTTGATTTCTCTTACAAAACGTTTCGGCTCGCATTTCTGCCAGTATGTCCTGAATTTCTAAAAGATGTTCTTGGCCCATTTTAAATTAAAGCCTTTATAAAATAAAATGGCAAGTGCGTTTACTGGATCCAATTTTCTGTTTAGCAGCCAGTCTCAAAAAGAGTGGACGAAGAACGAAAGCCCACGATTTAGCTTCGGAACAATTGGCGTAAGCCAAACAGACCTGGGAGAAAATCGCGTTCATCTGTTGGATTTTTAAATGAACGCATGCATGCGACAAGAACGCGCGAGTCAACGAGAGTTTACAGACGTAGATGACGTGTTGCGTGCTTATTCGGTATTGACTGGGAAAAACGTGTGCAAACGTTGCTGCCCGAACCCAAGCTGTCAGATTTTTACGTGCCTTCAGAAGGTCAACGGGTTAGTTTGTGTTCTTGGAGAACTGCCTTTGTCGGTTTCTTGGCGTATCGAGTTGGTTAACTTTATTTTAAAAAGCTGCTTTGGTCGGTTTGCTTAATTTTAATTTAAAAAGCATTGACAAAGAATTCTCAAGGCTATTGGAAAGCCGCAAGGCCATGGAAAGGTGAAAGATGGGCGCGGACAAAAGCGCGGCGAGAAGCTCGTTAAAAAGCAGGCCGTTTGGCAGTTGTATTTACCCGCCCCTAAATACGTACCCAGGCCTATGACTTTACGAAAAGATTAGATTGAACCCAACGACACGCATTAAATGGATGTGTTGTATTTACCTTGGGATCGTGAACACGATGCACTTACAAATACGCTTTGACGGTGGTCGACGTGGCTTCCAGATACATAGAGGCGGAACCTTTGATAACAAAAACAGCTGAACAAGTGACCGACGCCATAAAACGGGTTTACGACAGGTCGCTGTTGACTGAAACGATTAACGTAGACTCGGGATTGGAGTTTCAAGGCAAGTTTTAAAAAACAGTTTCGTTAAAGAGGGCGTTCAGATACAGGTGGGCCAACCGGGTGTCCATCTATCAAAGGGGAATCGTTGAACGGTTCAACAGAATGTTAGCCGACCGACTGTTTGGGCATCGGTACGTACACAAAATGTTGAATGTTGGTAAGCGAAATGTGGAATGGGTGGAGCTTCTTCCCAAGGTTGTAAAAGCACTAAACGAAGAAAAAACTCGGTTCATCGGCGTGGTCCCCGCAGAAGCCGTCAAGTTAGATAGCGTGAAACAAGCAGCGGCTGCGTCCGTCTCCAAAAGAAAAGAGATAGAATTACATTCAGACGTTGTCTTGCGATATTTGTATTAACCCGATGAACAGGACGGTGGTACCGTCTGAAGAGCGACTGATCCGATTTGGAGCGTAGACGTGTTTCAAATCGAGAAACGCACAGGTCAGTTTAAAAGAGTCAATGGCAAAAAGGTAAAAACGGGTCCGACGCTGTATTCCTTGCTAAACGGGCCCAAGCGTTCATTTGTGCGAGAAGAGCTTCAAGTTGTGCCGGCTTGATAATGGCCGGAAGCTAAAGTATCGATACCGTTTGGCAAAATGTAATGTTTTGTATCTAAAGGCGAAAAGCTCAATTTGTTCCCGTTATCGTGAATACTTGATGTCTGTCACATCTAAACATCTGTTGCTTAAAAAAGTTTTGTAGCCGTTCAAACAGGCATTTTTAAAAATGTTTTTCGTGTGAAAGATGCTTTTTCGTCACGACCTTAGTTACGCCTTTGGCTTTTTTCAAATTTTGATCTTCTGTCAAAATGGAATACGCTTTTGGTCTGATACAAACGGTTTCCAGCATAAGTCGTCACCTAATTCATCTTTCATCTTACGGTTGACTTTTTTGAATCTATATCGGTATACATCAACTTTATTTTGTCTACAAAATGGGGTTTCAATGTGTTGTAAAAAGTCACACATTAATATTTTTGAAAATCCAAGATGCAAACACCACAGTAAATAGGTTTGTTTAGAAAAATTTAAATTTTGTACATTTCGACAAACGAGATCGCCCTCTGGAAAAGCCGTTGTCGTTTTGTAATTAGGCAGGCTAGAAAGTTTGTAAAACGTTTTGTATCTCCGTTTCGCAAAATACTGAATTGTTCATCAGTTTAAAAAAATCCTTTTCAAAGTTTGAATCGGCTCGTTTGCGCAATTCTGTATTTTTATCGATGTAGCTTTTCATCCAAGACGCGATGAACCGCTTTCAATACTAAACCCAATTGTAAACAGACTTGCAACGTTCAATAGTGTAATTTATATTTTTGTTTTGGATGTAACATGGCTACGCGTTTATTGACCAAAGCGGCTTTTACTCCATTTAGATTGATCAATTTATTTTGGTAGTCCGACAGCCATTCGTTTGGAATCAGAATGTTCTAAGGTGCCGAAGGGAAATCATTGTGTAAATCATGTAGATGTACGGGGTAATCGAGAGTTACTTCAAACATGCAACCAGTTTTAGTACAAGGTGAAAGTTTTGAATGTATTCGTAAGTAAATTTGTTTAGCGCACGAACCCATTTAAAGTTTCCAATGGTTAAATATTGGCTCATGGCCCAACCATGATGTACAAAGACAGTTTATCTGGGTCATAATCGGGTAAATATTTGTTATTTGCTTTCGTGTAACGAATGCGCATTCAAAGAACAAGTGTTTGTCCATGCCTGTCAGCAGCTCGAGTTTAACGCCCGAATGTTTCAACAACGCGTCCTAAGTTTTTTTGAAAGTTTTCAGAGACACAGGCAAGTAATAACGCTTCTGTTTTAAAGTACGTGCAGATTGTTAAAGTTGCGTTGGGCTCTAACATAAGCTTATTCGGATACGGTTTCCTGTTTAAGTGAACTATAAAACGCTTCTCGCGGCGGAAGTTGCGTTTCTTCAAACTTTTCAGTTTCATAAGGAGTTCATATATTCATAGGGGTAAACGCCTTTTTCCCAAAGCAGCTCTGTATTTTGTGGAAAATTTTTCCGAAGTAATTCAAAAGCTTCGTGAGGGCAAGCTTTCACAAGCGCATCGAGCGAATACCACATAAAATTAAAACGAATCTAAAAACTTGGGCTGACCCACTGAAAAGGAAATGTACTTTTCAGAATTTTGTGGGATACAAAAAAGTTTGTCGTCGGTCGATGCGGGTAATCCTTGCATAATCAAATGGGCGTTGTAATTTTCGAAGTTGTTGAAACGACCGGAATAACGGTCTTCTATGAAATAATTTTCAGCTGTAAATTACAGCGCTTGTGTGCTGCTCCTCTTATTCCCCGGTAATGTGATAATGATCGCGAATCGCGAAAGTCGATGCATGTGAAATCTAACTCGTGGAGATTACATGTCGATTTATAATCGATTAATGTCGATTCGGCGTTTGACACCAGTAGAATAAAGTCCCGGAGCCGCACATAATGCCCATAGTAGGCCTATGTATTTGCAATAATCATTTTTGACGTTTATGACCGCTTTCTTGTTTTTAATATAATCGGGCAGCCGATATATGTTCCACCTAGTGGATCATACCACGTTAAGTTCATATAAAACGCAACGATTTCGTCAAGTACAAATCCAGACCTATTGTTGATAAATCTCTCTATTTTGTCTGATAGTTGTTCTTTTTGATTTTCTATCACGTTCTTTACATCTGGTTCGAGAAATGCTGTAGTGATATCACTTAAAATGTAAATATTCGTATAACAATGTCTCGTTCTTCCGGTCGTTCCTTTTTAAATTGGACTTTGATAGCTGTTTGTAATCTGTAAGTGCCTATTTCTCGTGATTCAGCTAACGCTTTCAATTCGATGTGTCTTTTTGCGAAAATCAAAAAAGAGTACTACGTCTTCCCTAAATAAATGTGGTACCAGTTCCTAAGATTCCCCTGAAATCGCCTAATTTCTCAAATGTTTACTTCATCAAACGAATCTGGTCGAGTAAAATTTTGAATCGCGTCGATGGGATCTTTTCGTAGCACATTACCGTTTGCACCTGTGGCTGTGAAGGTATTTGATTATCTTGTACTATTTGTAAGAGCTGACGATACTTTTTGCGCTGTGGATTTTTGAATTGGCGATCGTGCGCTTGAATTGCCCGCATGTATTCTTTTTTAGTGTTTTAACGCCTCTAAGGTGCGAGTACTGGTATACTGAACCGTCTGACATGGTCGGATACATTTGATTTTTTAATTCGATTAAAGTTAGATAATATAAGATAACATTGTACTCTGGAATGACTCAGTCTGCTTCGTCTATTAAATTTGCGTATGGGAAACCGTCTAAAATGTCTGGGGGAATCACGGTTATGTCTACATCTTTATCATATTCAATTATCAAGCCAAGTTTTCTACTTGTACATTCAAGTCAGATTTAGTGTCACGGTCGTCTTCTTTTCTAAATCTTATCTTTTTATAGCAACCGTGTCTATTGTCACTGTCGTATACAAAAAACGATACACCGTACAGATTTTTGCAGTTGATGCAGTAGCCTAATTACAATCGTTACAGTGATCACATTCGATGCAATGATCACAACCCGTACAACAATAACAACTGTCGCATGATGTTGAAGATTTTGCAAGAGTTGAAGTAAATCACATAGTCGGTGTTGTTTTCATGGTTCAGAGTAACCTGTTCACCCTGACAATAAATCCACTCAGTACTTATCTTCCGGAGACTTCAATTTGTTTAAGTGAGCAGATGAGATGTTTGAATTTGTGTGTAATGCGGTTATTCCCTCTTACGGCGTGATCGTTCTGCACCCAATACATGTGTTAACAGACAGGTACCACAATATCGGTTGTTATCGGTGGATATCATTATTAGTGAATCTGGCATCGGAAACTCAAGAAAAAGCACAACTGTGTATACAATAAATCATTCATCGTCTTAAATCGGCATTTTATTTTTCAATAACGAAGTGAATAAAACATGTTGTATTTTAAAATTCTGACGCGTAACAAATCATGAAAGCAATATTGAAAATAGGGTTTGTGTGTTTTAATTGCAAAACTCGTGAAACGAAACGAAGAACCAAGATTAATAGTTGATACAATTCATTGGTTAATTACGGAAACTCGTGCAGTTCCATCTTTTTAAAACGTGATGTATACTTTTTGAATGATCGATTATTATGAATTGGTTGTCTACTTCGTTTTCATGATTTTTTTTTATTTTTAAGAGATCTCTCAAAAACGCCTTTGATTTGGAAACGAATCGTTTTACGAGATATATACTTTGAATCGTTTCTTTTAAGATATTTTTCCAAGTATTAACTTTCAAAATGCTGTATAACTTTCGAGAAAATTGTTATGTCTCAAAAACGATCTTCAAAGAAATCATTTCTTTGATAAAACATCAGAACTTTTTCAAAATATATTCATGTATGTTACTACAGGGTTTTCATAATCACAACAAGAGTACTCGAAAAGTTGGGGTTACTGTCTCGTGTTACAGCTGACTTAAGATTAAGGGTTAAATCACAACCTGCTGTGAAAAACATAAGCTTTTGACGGGACCAAAGCTCCATAACACCAATACACCCCAAGCTGTCTGAAACCTCATCCCTCTGGTTGGTTGGGTTGATCGGTATTGTTAGTCGATTTTCAAATCCTCCTTGCTTATACCAGGCACGAAATGGGACAGAGACCCCCAACAAGTACAAACTCCAGTCTATTGTCGACTAACCCCTAGATGTGTAAAAAGAATTCCTGGGATACCAGTATAACAATGACCAACATAAAGGCGGGGAGGGAGTTCCCTCTGTCCCATATTTTGCTTCATATTGTCCTGTTGATTGGAGATCTCTGCTGATTCTAACACTTTACAAATTGTTTGCATTTTCTTCCAGCAACTTGTACTTTGAATTATCCTTTTATTTCCGTTAGGCCTTCGAGCTGCCTGGCAGGAACGTTGACAAAGCAGGTATATTTTGATTTCATTTCTTTTCAATTATAAGAGTGTTTGACGCCAATATAATGAACTTTTTTCATTAAATAGGTGTGAAGTAAATCTTTAGTTCGCCAGCATTTAGTTTGAAGATATTCCTACCAGTATGATTTTTTGTCATTTCAGATCTGACCACTGACCAATGATGTGACCAAAATATGACCATTTTAGGGTCATATATTTAATAGGCGGTTAATTGGTCAGTCTAAAGCCCCCGATCAAACAGAACTGCATTTTTTACATCGGCTAAACGGCAGGCGGGATAAAGCCGGGTACTAGTTACGGCCTCCATGTGGCAGGCGTGTAACAGACCTTCACTGGCAATCGCGCACGCGTATAGTGCGTGCACGCAGCTCGGATTTCTGTACGTGCGTGCACTTCACAACTCGAGAGAACGGATGAATTACGTCTACACGATACGAGTAATGTTGTCTCTCACTTATTTTCCTCCATTTTGCACCCCATGGTTCGTTCTGAAATTCTAACCTCCAGGACGGATAGATAAGGCCAAAAACTTGTAAACGTAAAAAATTAGTTTCCTCAACATGATAAACCGTGACAAATTTAGAACCATACTTGTGGTCGTTTCGTGTATACCCAAGTCTTAGAACCTGGACGTTAGTCGTAATGAAATAAAGACAACGTCCAACCTGGGCTAGCCGCCATCTTGTCGTCTCATAGGGCATGGACTGTAACATTTAGGTGCGGGTGTACAAGTAATGCAACAGAGGACACCGACTGGTAGCTCAGGTGGTTGGTGCACTGCTTGTACCATGTTGTGAGTAGTATTTTGTACATTTCAATTTTTATTTTGAACTACCAACACCTCCTATTATGAAATCTTTATGTTTTGTGGGTGATCCAACGAATCCAGATCCCACAGTCATCAGTAAAATTACTGTGCTTTCCTGATTTCCAACGTGTTAGTAGGGGAATCTCAGAAATTTGGGCCTTTTTTTCAGACTATTTTATACAAATCAGGAGTTGAAAAATTAACAACTGCCAAGCTGCTGAACCTGGGAACCCTGAGTCGACTCCTGTAAAGAATCGTCAACTGACAACTCTAATCTAGCCCCTAACCTTGCAAAAATTAACTTGCCATTTGTCTTTGCTTGCAAAAGTTGACTTGATACCACCTCTGCTATCATACCACGCTATTATTCGAAGATCTTGGTGGCCGTCAAAGTTGGTAGGGGGCAACTTACCCCCAACCGACGGAACTTTATTTTTCGGGGGAACGAATACAGCAGTGTATTTATTTATCAAACATTAGCACCCTTAGAAAACAACACCACAAAATAAACCCAAGGATGTTCGGACAAGTGAGGCTTTTGATATTTTTTCTCACCCAACATTTGCTTTAGAATATGCCCCCCTCCTCTGAAACCAAAATCTGGTTTAATGAAACTTTGTTTTGCATATTCACAACACTATAGGTTATTTTGCCAAGCATAACATGTCAAATGCACACATAAGATCTGTTCAAACTTGTAAAGAAGCAAATGGCATACATGTACATGCTACATCCACTATTAATCGATGCATTAAAAAGAGAAAATCTAACTTGTCAAAGTTCCCTTGAACCTAAAACTCCCTGGGCCTTTTCTTTGTTAAAGTTAATAAACAGCCAAACACATCCTGACCTAACAAATACAATACAGCAGAGAAATCTGCATTCTTCAAGCGTGAGGTTCAACCTGTCGGCTTATGGTTGCAGGCTATGCCACATGACACCTGCTTGCATCTGACGTTTGTTGCTGTCCAGCACGTTGTTGCTCCTGCGAGAAAAGAGCGAAATCTTTTTAAACAACTGAAACCATTACAAAAAGAGGTTGACATATAAAATTAATTATCTGAGCTTAACTTGTTTTACACTTGATGGTTTAAATGCAAAAAAATCTAGATACTAACTGGTCAAAGTATTCCTAGTCCTTCCGCCACGTTAAGTGTGGATCGGTCTACTAGAACATACGTACCCAAACAGTCAATACATATGCAAATTGCACGTGGACCTATTTATTATTTACTGAAATTATTGTGGAAACTTGTATGCCAGAATGAAACAGGTACACGAAGATATCCGCGACTGCTTTTAGAAGAGCCTCGGTAGCATGTTCGTCGCACTGCGTAGCAAAATGCCATATCCTGCTGTCGTGTACCTTGCAGGTGGACGATCGTCGTCCTTGTGCGTCCATTGCGAAGCTTCGCTAGAAATTCCAGCCAAGTGGAAGGATCGTTGGACAACGTCCAGCATGTCTGGTCTCTTTGGGAGAACGAATGGCCGGTGGACTTGAAGTCTCATCAGTTGCGGGCACTACTGTGGCCAGAAGGGAGTGATTAGCAGAATCTGACAGTGTTCATGTTCTATTTTTGAGATGACCCGCGAGACCAGAGTAATGGGGGGGGGTGGCATGCACTAGTAGGCCAGTCTAATCGATCCGATGGGCGTTCGTGGCCCACGGGCAGTGTTCTGCACCAGAACACCGGAAGTTGCACATTGTCCACTGATGCACAGAGGTCAGCGTGCGGTCTCTCTATCGCCGAGAACAGAGTTTTGACAGTTTGACATGTCAGTTTGGAGGGTCCGTTCTGTTGGTCAGATCATGCCTCGGGACAGGGCATCTGCTTTGGTGTTGTCGGGCCCCGCAATGTGGATCGCTAAGATGGTGATGGTGTGCAGGATTTCCCATGTGAGGAGGGCGCACATCCTAGGACAGTGCGTACCGCCCTGATGATTGATATACTACTGCCGTCGAATTGTCCTAGCAGACCGTGACGGTTTCGCCCTTGATATGTCCATTGGGATTGCATCTGTCGATATGACTAAGTCGGTATTTGCTCGTCTGAAAAAAGGAGTCCCGCTTCCAGGTAGCCACCGGAGTAGGTGTTGGCGGGTGTTGTCTGAAACGTGTACCGGAAATGCGATAGGATCAATTTTCGATAGAGCGAGCAGAAGAAGCTGTAGTGGTCTCATCTGTAGTCTGCACCATGGCGCCAGGCCCACCATGCTGGCCATGAGACTCAGGATACAGAGCCAGGCAAGGGTAGGATGTGACTGCGACATGCGGAAGAGATGAAGTCTCGAAAATCGTTGACTCGGTCAGCCGTTGGAGTAATGACGCCTCCGCAAAAGTCGATTCCTGCCCCAGATAAGTCGGGCGCTGTGATGTAGTTAGCTCGACTTTTCCAGGGCTTCGCTGCGCCAATCTGCATAGCCTCCATCTCCAGCATGTCGACGAACTTGCCACCGAAAAGGTCTCTGGAGACGAGTCTAAACACCCTCGTGGGGAATAAGCATGGCATCGAGGGCGTTGGATCTTCTCGTCGAATTCGCTAGACAGGATATTTGAGCAAACTGTGCTGCTCAGTCCGTCGTCAAGGCCGAGGAGAGCTAGCTGCAAAAGTCCGAGGAGACCGGTAACTTCTCCTCGCATGCACGGGCGATGTATTCCGACAGTAGGAGCCGGAAGGTGGTGCATTGTAGTCCGAAGCGGGAGGTTTTTTTGAGCTTTGCTAGCGTAGAATCCAGCAGGGCTTTATCATTGTCAGCGCTAATCTTGTCTTTGGCTACGTCAGGAAGATCTGGAACAGTGTTGTAGTCGTCGAGACTGGTCTTGGTCCCGAGACCATTCTCTAGACCAGTTTAAAGGTGGTCTTGATCTCGAACATGCTGGTCTTGGTCTCGAATCATTGGTCTTGGTCTTGATCTCGCACCTCCTGTTCTCGGCATTTTCGGCCGAGACCAGTACAACACCAATTTAAAAATACACTTTGCACCCTTTTATACCTGATTGGTGATGAATTTCGATTGTTTGTATGGGCCTACGAAAAACCTGAATCGAGACCCCGCAAGACGCGAAGGTACGGTCGTTAAGGATTGTACGTACAAGCGGTCGTTGTGGTTACAGCTGGCAGTAGCGTGTCATGCGCAAACTTCACCCTTTGTGCGAATTACGTGCGCACCCAAGGTCAAAACTTGCATGGCCGAAGTTTCAAGCTTTCGCACTCGCAGTTAAACTTGCGCAGGCAAAGTTGAAGCTTGCACCAGGAAGGAGATAGCGCGTGACTGCCCTCAAACAAATTGTCACTGTTATAGGCCGTAAAAAGATATGTCATTTGTTGTTGTCGGGGTACCTGTGAAACCGTAGTCACATTGTGTGGTCTGGTAACTAGACGCTTATTTAAGCACTGTTTGTTAATCTCAAACTTAACAAGACACCATTCCGTGATAACGTTTTTGGCACAACGTGTGCCGCTGCGTGCCTTTGCCTTGAAGTGCGCAAGTCGTTGATGTCTTGGTTACCGGAAAGCCTTTTCCGGCTATCATTATCTGGCAATTCTGCAATCATACATTACTAGCGAGATGCCGCGCTTCGCGCGGCACCCGCTGGTGGCAACAAAGTAAGTGGAAGTAAGAAGTAATTTTTTTATCAGACTGCAATCTCTGGATTTGGACAATTATGCATTCAACCACCACAAGGAATACGTTGGTGTCAAAACGGGAAACATCAGCATCAGCGATAAGGCAGGAACAACATCTGCCTTCGTCAAACACGCACGCTGCCATCACCCCTTGAAGTGTGTACATGTACCAGGCTACTTCTAGGAATGATCTTTCAGTCCTCATGTTTGTTCGAATTTTTAAAGGATCTAAATTTAAGGCTTAAATGTTTAAACAATCAAAAACTGTTTCGTGTCCGATTTTTAATGGAATGTGATGCCATGTTTGCACTACAGTCCCTAATTTGAAATGAAAATAAATTGGTTCAATTTTATCATTTTAAAATGAATTGAGCTGAAATGCATAAAATTATGAATTGCTGTTATTTTTCGTTCTTAATTTGTACTTAGGCCCCATTATTTTTTTATACTTTATACTTTATATTTTTGTTTTTCAAACTCACCTGCTTGCCCAAAGTACATGTAAATCCTAGGCTTGTCTCCTTGTTAATCTTGTCATAACATATAACACCGATGGATTACATGCATGTGCTGCCTGCCATACCAGGCAAAAAGTAAGGTTCCCAAGTGTTTACGAATGTGAAATAAAACAGTTGGAAAGGAAATTGTATTTTAATTTTATTGCGTCTTTAGGGTGCATTGATTGCACGCAATATGCAAGTCGCGACATTCAGAGCAGGTCAAAAAACAAACACATCATTGAAGAATTCAAACTGCAAAGTATCAACAAAAAACAATGCTGAATTCCAGGACCATTCTGTCAAACTAACGCGTCAAACTAATATGTGGAGTTCTGTAGTTTATAGCCCATCTTCACAGTTTTATGTCAATGTACAGAGATGATTTCTATCCATTTATTTACAAATGTGGTCTTGATTTCGGACGGCCGGTCTTGGTCTCGGGCTACTTTTTCTGGCCTGGTCTTGGACTGTTGGTCTCGGACTGCCTGGTCTTGACTACAACACTGATCTGGAACCGACAGAAAGTTCTTGAAATCTTTTGACGGGAAATGGTACCAAGCTACAGCTCGGTTGGGGAGTGCACACCATTGCTTGGCTTAAGTAAGGGGTTTGAATATCTTCAAGCAGGAGCGATCAAACGGGAGTGAAGGATAAATTGGCCCAGAAGCATTCAGTCGAGTCGTATGTCATTTGAACGAGCAGTGACTAATATCCCGGGGGGTGCAGCTGCGGGTAGACCGAGTACTTGAATCATGTCCCGAGTGGTGCAACCCGTCTGTATAGGTGAAATCACGCTTTCCCCGTTTTCTGGCCTCTCGACCAATCAGAATTCAAGGTTTTGCTACGTAACACTTCATCTGCATAAAATGAGGTGTCCCGTACCATTTATAGTAGGGGTGTTTGTAAGTTGGAGGGACGTTTGTACAATATAAAAATACTGTATATAATATAAGGTATAATATGTATATATACTTTATTATTATTGCATTGTACCTTGGATAAGCACCTGCTCCCACACATACAAAAAATGCGAAGGACTGATTAAGTACTATTACATGACAGAGGGCGCTAGTCACTAGGCGTGTTGCGAAGTTATAGATGGCGTTCTGCCCAGTAACTGGGGCAGATGTTGGGCGCGCATAGCCGTGTGTTAAACGAGCGCGGCGCATAGTGGTGCATGCACGGACGTGTATAATAAAATCTGGACTCGCAATGCCCTTAATCAGCTTA